TACGTCAGCTACCAGTCCGACCTGGGCCCCTACCCCGGCGGGCGCTTCTACGCTAAGCCACACCAGTGTGTGCCCATCCCCGCCGACTTGCGGCTCTGCCACAGCGTGGGCTACGACAAGATGGTGCTGCCCAACCTGCTGGACCACGAGACCATGGCTGAGGTGAAGCACCAAGCGAGCAGCTGGGTGCCGCTGCTCAACAAGAACTGCCACATGGGCACCCAGGTCTTCCTCTGCTCCCTCTTTGCCCCCGTCTGCCTGGACCGGCCAGTCTACCCGTGTCGCTGGCTCTGCGAGGCCGTGCGTGACTCCTGCGAGCCCGTCATGCAGTTCTTCGGTTTCTTCTGGCCTGAGATGCTCAAGTGTGACCAGTTCCCCCAGGACGATGTCTGCATTGCCATGACGGCTCCCAATGCCACTGAGGTCTCCAGGCCCAAAGGTAAGGCGTGACCAGTGCCACTGCCCCGCTCCTGGTGCTTTTCTCTGAGCTGATGGGGCAGGTGTCAGCCCAGGAGGGCCCGTGTGGCACTGGAGGGGAGGGGAGGCTCACCTGAGCACTGACGCTTGGCAGCTGTCCTCCTCCAGCCTCCAAGTCCTCTGTGAGCGCTCCTGTCCTAAGACAGGATGCCCTGCCAGCTCTTTGCCTCTATCCCAGAGCTGAGCCTGGGGACAAGTGGTGCCGGGGCCCAGGGAGTACACGGCTGCTCCAGCCCCGGTGGACCAGGGCTCCGACCCTCCCTCCCCAGGCGCTGCAGCGCCCTGGCAGCGGTTCCTCTGCCGAGCTCGACTCCTGCGGTGCTGTTCTTGGCAGTGCTGAGACGCGTGGTCCCCACGGCAGAAAGCATTGCCTGACTGGAGTAGTGACAGTAATCCTGACAGAATAGCTGCTTCCCAAACAGCCCTGGGGCAAGAGGCTGGGCAGCTGGTGGCTGTGCTGTGGTGGAAATCCAGACGTGCCCTCTAAGGTGGGCTCTGTGCTGGGGGATGTGGACGCTGTTCTTGTTTCCCTTACGTGTGGCAGATCTGTTTGGTGCGAGTTGCAACGAGTATGGCTTGTTGCTGAAAACTTTAAAATAAATAAATAACCTGATGTCTCTTCAGCATTCTATGCTGGAGCACTGAAAAGTTGGCAGGAGGGATCTTTGTAGAGGGAGGAGGCAGAGGTCTATAAGAGAGTGCAATGCTTTCCTGCGTCCGGAGCTGCGATGAAGGGATGGGCGCTTCCGATTTCACAGGGGATTGTGCTGGCACTCAGGAGGAGCTCAGGGATGGGGGAGCTGGACGTGGGGCTGAGCCATTGCCGTGGCTTCAGCGCCGTGTCCGGAGCTCGTCTGGAGGGACGGTTGTGCTCTGCCGCGGCCGCTGGCATGCAGTTACCTGTTCAGACAAAGCCTTCCCGTCGTGCTCGGCTGGGAGCCCTCATCCAGCCTCCTGGGGACTCTGCAGCATTGTCCTGCCCATCCTGGCAGGACTTGTCCTGCAGGGAGCTCTGTGGTTATGGTGCAGGAAGGGCAGAGGGATGGCACTGGGGGTGTCCCCCGGAGCTGGTGCAGGGGCAAGTGGAGAGGAGTGCCATGAGTGGAATGGGACGGCCTGCTCAGGAGCAGGTGGGGGGACACCTGAGCCCGACACCCCTGAGGCTGTACAGGGAACCTCTGTCATGTCTCGGTGGTGGCATCAAGGAGTGGGTGGGGTGTGAAGCTTGTGCTTGCACCAGGGGTGAGCTCTGGCAGCTCTTGATCCCAGGGATTTGGCTTCTCCCCGTGCAGTGCCAACAGCAGTGCAGCCATGCTGGCTTCCTTGCCATGGCTTGTCCTCACTGATGGGATTCCTGCACTGATGGGATTCCTGGAGGAAGCTCTTTGTGTTCCAGGAAGGCTCTAAAATCATCTCTCCTGTGTGAACCTAGACCCTTGGTCAGGACCACAGTCGAGCCCTGTGTTGCGGGTACAAAGGTTGCTTTTATTCCCCAGGGACTTGCAGCCACGCTCCTGGGTCTGAGCTTCTTGCTATAGAGCTGCACCTTCCAAGGCCTGAAACAGAGTTTGAGTTGTTTGCAGGTCATTTGTTTTCACAGATATTAATGACCCAAGACCCAGAACAGTATCCTGGATGAGCAGCATCTGTTTTTTCCCTTGTGTAGTTTAACAGCTAACTTTCTGATCACCTTTCAGACCTGTCTGGACAGCAGCGTTGGGGTGGGACATTATCACTTTCTTCTGGTGCCCATCAGTGCAGTATTTGGGCACTCTGCTGTCGTTCACAGGCATTGCTGAAGTGACTTTAGCACAAGGAAATACATCAGCTCAGGTGTGAGTTCTTTGTGGATCTGTTGCTGGTCCTGTTTGGGGTGCCTCATTCTGCACAAGCTTTAGGGTGTTTGAACTTGCTCTTTGAGTGAACTGTAAGTCGGAGCTGGGTGAGTATTGCAAGGAGGCGTTGTAGCCAGTCAGATAAACCACTGTCTGCTAAAAGGCTTCACAAAACTTACGTCCCAAGTGCTTTTAAATGAGCAATTTGTTTGCAAGAATGTTTACAGAAAGTAACTCTTTAAAATTGTTGTGGAAATGTGAACTCTCTCTGCATTCAGTGGAGAAGTATAAGCATTCATCTTCACATCCCTTGAAAGTATTTCAAGATGAAACTCCTGCACATGCTGTAGCTGAGCCCTGGCAGCTCCAGAGGAGTCAGGGCCGACTCCCTGTGCCTGTCCCACCAGCTGGGACACCTTCCTGTGAGGGGACAAGCAATCTTGCTAGAAAATGCTTCTTCAAGGTCAGAAAGCCAGGCCTGCAGTGATCTGCTGGGCTGGACCTGCTGCCCTTAGGTCTGCCAGCTTTCGTGGTGTTAACGCTGGTGTGCAGCACAGGAACCTGGCACATGTTCTCCTACGAATAACCTTTGGTTGGTGAAGCTCTGTGTGCTGCACACACCACGTGCTGGGATGCACATGCCCCAAACAGCTTAGAGTGAAGAGAGAAAACTTGCAGTCGGTTGTGAGCGCTGCTGCAACGTGCCCGGTGCAGCCAGGACTCCTGCCCCTGCC